GTAGAGATCCGCCTTTGCATCCGAAGAGTAACGATGTACAAGTTCACGATTTTGTGTCGGATTCGCGCATGCGTCTTCATACGGCGATTTCGTCATCGGGGGCTGTGGACTAGCAGCGATAGGAGGCGCGCAATGGGCACCAAGGAAGTTTTGCCGGTAAAAAATCAAGGATATTTTCGACATTTTTTTTGAGGAGGACTAACTAAAACATCTTGAATTTTATTGAATCAATTAAGAACTTATGAAAAATTTCAAGAAAATTGTTAGTTGGCTTGAAAAAATAAATAAATAATAAATTAGCGGGACTTAAAACGTTGCAATCAGAGGTGTTTGACTTAAGAAATCGATATATTATCAGTCCTACAAAACTATTTCATGAATTTTCTTAAAAACCGTCCATGCGGATGGACCTATTTCGTTTGAATGTTCCTGTTTCGGATGTGCTTAACCTGATGTTTCCTCAATATCACCTGTAAAAAGACTACGGTGTAAGAAACGGTAACCAATATTTGGTTTTAACATGGTAAGTTGAACCCAAAGTAACAGAAACTTTCGATTAATTTATATTGATTACAATTAGTTTTTTTCCGGTTAGCACGGCCAACTCTCTCGGTTAAATTAATAAAACATTTCTGATTGGAAAACTCTGAACCTCTAAAAACCGGGCCTGGTCAGCTGGTGTCAAGGCCGGATATCGCAGATGGTAATCCAATGCGCCAGCCGTTTCCTGAATCTTGAAATGTCTCTGAGTATGACGTACTAAGTTCCAGTTAATTTCACAAGAGAATTTATGTAATAAACAAAATTGCGTTGGTTGTTTTCACTGAAAGAAAATAAAGCCAACGGAATGATAAACACAGAGATTTTTAACCGCATAACTAAGTCGGTTGTACATCTTGTGTGAAACAGTCCCGTTGACCGCGGAAGAGCTTTTGAGCTTTAAGCAATGCGGCTGTCCGATTGTTCTCTCGGGGAGACGGCGTAAATCGTACCCGAGTCTCGAACGAGAAAACCAGCTAAAACCGCGTATCCGCATAGGATTAATATCGGAGTTACGCGCTTCTAACGGGGGGCCGTTTCCCCGGACGACGTTTTCTCCGGACGACTCGATCAGATAACCCGGGGCCGGGAGACAAATGAGTCGGTGCGGCTAAAGCCCTTTTAGCCGCTGCCTCTTGGCGGCCACCGCATCAACGCCGAGGAAACCGGAAAAACTTGTAAAACGAAAATGACCGGCTAATTATAATGAGTATCCGATAGCATCGATGGATTTCTGATCCGAAAATTTTTCGGACGCGTGGTCCAAGCTGCCAGCTTTTGGTAGCGACCCGTGCCCGCGGCCAACGTGAAGGATTTTCAGGACCGTTGCCGCATCATATGAAAAAATATAAGAGAGGGGGGTTTTCCCTGACCGCCATGCGGCCCAGCCCTCGACGGGTGCTTCTTTCTTGCTTTGCGCTAATAATAAGTCGATATTAAAACTGCATCCTTATTAGGGGCTGTCCCTAAATTATACGTCACGCACTTTTTTGGCATTTTTGACCCCCTCTCCCTTCCCCTCGTGTAACGCTTTAGTGACGTAGGTCCCTATTCATTAACACAAAAAAACAAAATGGCGGAAAGCTTTCCTTGAACCCCCTCCCCCTAGAGCGTCACGTAATTTAGGGACAGCCCCTAACTGGATCCTTGCAAGGAACCACAATGATTTGGAAACTACAAAAAGTAAAAAATACAGAGGAAAATGTCTATGAGTTCGACAAACTTTAAGGTATTTTAAAACGTGACTAAAAATTTGCAGTACTCTTATTGTATCCACCCGTATTATTTTAGTTTCTTTCCTGGTGAATTATTGTATTACCGTGCACGGATCCGCTCCCAAAGTATTATTGCTGAATTTTACTGGCAAAATTGTCCGTTCTGCGCTGAAATTTTGCGGGCATCCTTAAACCTCCCTCAATCATCGTGTAAACCAAATGGGGCTCTTGAGGGAAAGGAGCTGTTTAATGAACGACTATAAACACGGCCTTTAAAGTGGATATTCAGTTTTTTCCCAATGTATTCTGGGTACGATCGATATATCTCAAATTATATCCTTCAGGTGAAACTGGGAAAATCTAAATTTCAGTCTGAAGATATACATCATTGAAGAATGTTCGTGCCGGAAATCATCTTCCAAAATATTAAAACAAAGTCAAAAGTACTGTTTCTAATTCACTATCGATATCGATACATTGAAATTGGTTGCAAAATAGAAACAGTACTTTTGACTTTATTTCAAGATTTTGGAGGGTGATTTTCGGCACAAACACTCTTCAATGATTTGTTTAATGACTGAAATTTAGATTTTCCCAAAATAATTCACCAACAGGTTAAAATTTGAGATACATCGATCATACCCAGAATGCATTGCGCGAAAGCTGAAGATCCACCTTGATAATTGAACGGACTGGCAGCGTAGTTGGGAAGAGCCAGAGGGAATGAAAGAGGCCATTAGCAGCGTCCGTCAAAGGTGAAGTGAAGCGCAAGCCCTTTATAATCTGACCAACTCCTCGATAATTAGCTCCTTATCTCCTTAATTTATTTATTAACTCGAAGAATCTTGTCCAATCTGAAGCCGAATGATCGACTGGCTTGCTTCTCGAGCTTACGACTTCCAGCCGATAACGGTCAAATCGGACCGAGTGTCGTCCTCGGATTCAGACTGACGGACGGGCTGGAGGCCCATCTCATTAACCTCTTTGCCTCTTGTGCATAAATTCAGGTTGGAAACTACGGCCGGTCAGTCCATGCTTAGTAATAGATTGTGGATGTAGTTTATTCGGTCATTGTTAGAAATTTTCTTCAGAAGAACTCGGGTCTTCCTACTTGAAATATAGACCTCATGTGAGGTTTCTGAAATTATTCATGAGATAATTTTGAGTAGTAAATTTTGCAAAATCCCTGGTCAATGTGTTTCAAATGCGCAAAATGTTTAAGACAGTAGATTCCTTTCTCATCTTTCTAGTCTCTGGGGGAAGGGGGAGGGGGGCGCTCTCTAAAGTATTAGACCATTAATTGCACATGAGGCAAAAAAAGGGCGAAATTCGAAGATTTCGAGCAACGGTTTCCGGTCGTCATCGCAATACTAGCACCTCCCATTGGTTACAGTCGTATCCTAGATGGCGCGAGGAAAAGGTAGATAAATCGTAAGTCGAACTTGCGGATAAGATCCAGAACGGACGTAGATCGAGGGAGAGCACACGCAAGAGACCCTCCGCTGGCCTCTGGGCGACAGGTGGAAACTTTCGCGGACAACAATTGTATGGGAGCAACAATCATCTTACCCACGTGGTAGATGATGAGCTTCGAGTGACGTAATGAGCCAAACAAGTTTACCAAACTTCGGAATGTTCAATGAAAAACCCAACACGTTGTTCAACACCCACATTGTCGGTAAGTCAACAGTTGAATGCTGGAATCCGGAAAGTAAAAGCTTCCACCATTGCCAAGATATCAGTGGAGGGTCTCTTGTCTCCGACTCGGCACCAGTGCAGAAGAGTGGTGCTAAAACGACGCTTATTTTTCACTTAGAGCCCGGTCGCACACGGACTCGACCGGACAGAGTCATATTTCACGAGTTAATGTAGCAACTCCGAAGCCACCGAAAAAGACAACCAATCCGCTGCGAGACCCGAGAGGGTGGTGGAATAAAACACACTCCGCCGGGGTCGGTCCGGGTCGGAGAGATCATATTACCCGGTATAAACTAAGTCACCGGACTCGGAATCGCGATTTTTGCGCGCGAACTTGCTCGAGTCCGCCTTACAACGGAACTCAACAGTATGTGCGTTTTGGCGTGAGCCTTGAGACCAGCATGAACACCCGTTGCCCGCGGATCACGCTGGAGTGGATATGACGTACTGTTGTGTATCGTGGCACGGGCTACAGGTGGTCGTAAATAACGCTCGGCCGCGATAAAACACTTTAATTGAGATTGTATATCAAGGCTGAATATTATAATAGTTGTAAGATACTTGATACGCGCGTAAACACCGCACTTTCCTCCCACGCTGGCTCCGAAACGCGAGCCGGCTCTGCCTCGCTGAGGAAGAACGCCGTATCAACGTTCAGACGTTGTCGAATTTCTAGTGACAAAACAAGTATTTTTTCACAAATTTGTGAATGTATCTCTTCGAAATTTCCAGACGAATTAGATTACATTGTAAATGAAATTATGTGAGCATTTCAAAGATGAAAATACTCGCAATTTTCAGAAAATTCCGTTTTCATTACGATAAATTTGGCAAAGCCTAATGCTCTTGTGGTGTTTCATCTTGGGTGCGGAGCGTTCTGCTCTTGGACATGTTACATCTCAATGTTGGGATTTTAGCTCGGCAACTACACTAGAAGACCTCTCACTTTCGGTCGTGTGAAGGGAGTTCCTTACGAGGAAGGAGGTTTCCTGGGGGAGAACAGCGTTGATCATTTGAATATCGCCAACTTTTCCCGGATGATATATTAATTGTTGCGGAAAATTAAGGACGTTTCAGTATTAGAAGAAAGCAATTCGGCCCAATTTTTGATCCGCCCGAGCCCCTTCCATGTGAGGCTCTCGTGAGACAACCTCTCCTCCGCCCTTTTTTGGATAGAAAATTACGGAGTAAGCCTAAAAATTAGCTCAAACTGTGCACGGAGACGCCAACTTATGGAGATGGACATTCTTGTATCCGCATCCGCATAAACTAACGTAGCTCTCTTTCATTATAACCTTAATTTTTAATCATTTTTTTATTTTTTTGTGTCTAAGAGTCGAAGACCATCATTGACCCCATGAAATTTTACACCTATCAGCGGTTTGTTGAATCAAATAGGCAGCCTGCAATGGAAACTTTTTCTTCTAAATTATACACCGTAATAAATCAAATTGTTTACCCGGTTCCAAACGCGCACAGTGCACCACATAAAACATGACCTCATTTTCAGCAGATAACGTAATGGTTAACTTCGAGCAATGCATCATTGATTATTGATAGATCAAAATGTGATTAAACACGCGAAAAAAAATTCACCTGTGTGGCCCCAAAATTTATATGTAACTCAGCGTGTGCACGGTGCGCCACACATGGCTTTACTTATTTTGTTGTTTAGCTTTTTTTCGGAGTTTGCTGCTGATGAGGTAAGAGCAGTAAAAATAACATCTTTAATGCGCAAAGAGAAACAATAAACAATGAGAGGAGCATAGATAAAACAAAACAAACATTTCACTTTTCAAAGTTTATTTATTTATATATTTATTTTTACTAGAATTAATGCCAACTGTGGTCGGTGATATGGCGGTAGAACTAGTTAGTGTAAAGTACAGAATTTGTTGATAAGCAACAACTGAAATAATTTGGACCAGCAACGGAAACATTTTTTTCTCTGTTATTTCAGTGAAATTCCGGCTTATTTTTAGAACGAACTTTACTCAAAGCGCATGCACTATGTGCGGTATGGGATTTTGTATTTCTTTTTTAAATTTTTAAAAAATGGTTCTTTGATAATATCCATCAAAATTCCCTTATTTTATTCTAAAATTTCAGGAAATTACGACAATAACGGCTGATAAAAAAACTCTTGAGGACTTAATGCATGAGCACCAGAATTTAGAACGGTGGCGACACGAAAAGCTACTGGAGGCACGAGAAGCTCCTCAAGTCATGGAAAATAAGGATGCGGTAGAATTTTTGAACGGATTAGAGGAAATTCATTATGCGTACATGAATCGCCACGAGTACTTTGAAACTGTCCTCAGGATGATTCGTATTCATGGAAAGTCACTGAGGAGCCCGTCGGAAACTATTAAGAAGGTACTTCAGTAAACTTGAAAATAAGGGATAAAAACGTGAGCCAAAGATGCATATTTAATCATGCATTATTAATTATTTTATTTAATTATGCATCTTTGGCTCACGTTTTTATCACTCATAATTATATATTTATATAGGTAACATGCGGCGCAACAATTTTTCAAACTTGAAAATGTTGGAAAGAGAGGTACATTCGGCAATAATTGATATTTAGCAATAACTTAAATGTAATCTCAAAGCGAAAAAGAATTTATTCATACATAGAGGAACATTTTTTTTAAGATATCCGCTTTTTTAAATTAGGTGTAAAATTAAGCATTTGAGTCGTTGACTTTATACTAATATTATATCGACAGGGAAAAAATAAGTTTCGAGAAGTTGAGTCACTTTTTACGCTTATTAAAAAAGTAAAGCTATATTGTAATTTAACAATTATGGGCATCAAATATAGCATTTTCATGGATTTAACCCTCTCAAAACTACATGTTCTTGAACTGCAAGGAACTTGAATTAGTTTAAATAATTTCAAACCACCGTAGCCAAGGTTTGATTTAACATTTTGAAGCATTTTTGCATCCTAAGTCCTGTAAAACACTATCCTCCTCAGAACTGTGGTCTTTGTTAAAAAATCCTTTTTCTTCGTTTCAGATCTTGAATTGTGTCAAAGATCTTGAAACCACATGGAAAAAGCACGAGAGCCTTTTACTGGGAAAGAACTGCCAGAAAGTGATGAAAACAACAGAAGAGCCCTTCTTAGATTTACCTCAAATTAAAGAATTGCTTCCAGCATTCGCCAAATCCACCGTTCAGTATTACGAGATAGTCCCCTTATTTGAAGCGGAGGTCGAAGCCTCTCCTCTAGCCAAATATGTATTCACTTCATAAAACGTCTGTGACTCCTACTAGTTCAGTTCTTAAAAGAGGCATGTGTACGAACAAATGCAGATGAGTTGCAATAGAATCTGTAATCAACAAAGACAAAATTAAAATATTTATTACAATTAATTTTGAAACCCACAATATCGTCTCTTACATTTTTTATCCTAGTAGTGGACCCAATCTCGCATAGTCTGTGCAACCTTTCGCCTCCCTCAGAGAATGTTGAGAATAAACGAATTGAGGATTTTTCCTCACGAGAAAAGTTTGCACCTGAGGGACATTTTGCCACCCTTGCCCTCACTGGTGGAACTTTATAATGCACATTTTGAGGAGGCAAAATTGATACAAATAGGGAGTAAGGTTTACGCACTTATTTTTGCGCCTTTAATTGTCAAGAGGGCAAGAGGACATCTTCGGTGCATTCAAGTACTTTGTCTTATTGTGAGGTTGGATGAGGGTATGTGTGTCAATAGGACGATTTTAAAATTAGCTCTGCTTTTTATTCGAAGATAAATGATTGATGATGATATGTAATATAAAACATTATGTCCCCCTAAATTTCCTTGAGGAGGCAGTAGGAGGAAACGCCACTGCAGCTGCGTGCTCTGTCGGCAAAAACTCCAAATTCTGCTCATAACAGAGGAAAGTCGTTGATAATATACGATTTAGAAAGAAGGGGTTCATGGAATTGACAAAACTTAAATAAAAATGAAGTAAGATCATCAGGCACTAGCGGGCTGAAATGGCCCGTTCTGCTGAAGCTAAATTGTGTATCAAAATCCAAACCACCATTAAATTCAAACCTTCCGCACTTTTTTCAGACTCCTTTAGTAAGTCCCTGGGAAGCAAACATTTCAACTCCGCTCAGGTGCCACCAAAATCAATCATGCTTATACATACCATCTCCGGGGCACGGCATCAATGGACAGTCGGACACACCTCTGTAAGTCTCGTATTCAAACGGTCTGAGAAAGGTGGTAACCACGGCCAACATCTCTAACGCAATCGATCTCGATGCTACCTCGAAACATCGAAGATCGATACATACCCCAATAAAGCTACAACAACTATCGAGGGAATGAAAATCGAATCGTATCGCTGCACAATGACAGAGCGACATATGGCCGATACGATCATTCCATCGCTCAGATTTGATTCTATTCTAATTCCCGGCCGACTTTTCCCTTATTCGATTAAGCCCCGATCTGTTTAATAGTGATAACACGCTCCGCGATTGTTGCGGTCGGGATGACTGCACTTTTAATATCCGCCCGGCTCGATGGAGTGGGTTTGCCGCTGGACAAATGCTCTCGAAATAAATAACCCATTGTAGTTACTTTTGTAATGGGAGAGAGTTATTTTCGGTCGACACTTGAGTTTCTTGGCTTTTCGGGTCCGAGTTATGTCTGTTAGCGCTCTCTGATGTTCGGAATTGGATCGTGGACCTCAGATCGATGGTAATTGTGTCGAGGGGTTATGAACATGTACCGGGCATACCACCCCACAAAATTACACTTCAAACTTGCGTCATGAAGGTATTTATTATGTCAATGAACACTCGTCGGGTGCATTTGGTTTTTAATAGCTATTTATGCGTATGCTTGTATATGTACGGCGAGAAGTTACTGTGGGCTGCGTTTGATGTTTTATTTTGGATGGGGAGCAAAGTTAATGTAAAAAAGGCATATATCCCAGTTTTGAGATTGAAAGCAAGAATCCAAGTTTTGAAGTTTATTCACTTTGAAATTGATTTACTTCACTTTTAAATAAAATGACTTTTCAATATTTTGTACGTACTTTTCTACTCTTCGGCTGAGGTCCCCTCTCCTCTCACTATTTTTGTAAAATAAGTGCTTATTAAAATAACTGAACTTGCAGGCAAATTCTCCAGTCTGAAGGCAAATAATTTAAGTTGTAAAAAATTATCGATGTTGGAAAATTTTTGGGTCAGGAGAAGAAGCAGGGAATCACGATTCGTGAATCACTCCTATAGTTGGGCATTGTCTCATTTTATCAACCATTCTGTAATTAAAGTTCATGTAGTTCTAATTTCTTATGACTCTCACGAGAGTAGGCTAGCAAGCGTTGTGCCCTGCACTTCCGATTATCATCACGGTCCCAATATTGCTACATTATTATTTTTGTCCTAATTTTATTTAAAAATGTTTGAATCTCTTTATTCGTGTTTAGGCGGGAGTGAGCAAATTTTTACTTATCTAGGGGGTACGCCCGGTGCCCGCCTCGCGGTCCAACTCTCCAAAACGCTTCGCGCACCAGCATTATGCGCTACGCGTCCCTCTTATGATTTCATATTTTAGAGTATGATCTGTGGTGGCACGATTATGGTTATCTCAACAAGAAGCTTCGCAAATCCTTCAAAACCAGTATACAATCAACACAACGTTAAGCAAGTATGCGACCGAAATTATTCATCACTTGGCGTTTATTTTGACTCCTCGGAGGCACCCGCGTTTTTGACCAAGCATGGAACCCACAGAGTCATCAATCACCGTTAATCAGCCTAATAAGCGCATCACGGCAGATTAGTCTCCGTTGTTTCATCGCCGTCATCGCGGATGGAGCCGCGAGCAACGAGACACCGAACAGCGCAATGCCGAAGTGGGACACCGGGTCAGGAATCGGAGAGCTTCCGCGTCGTACTTTCGGCTGAAGTTTTACAGCCCCCGGCCAAGGCCGCCACCAAGGGGGACGCGGACGCGGGAGTCCGGGATCCGCGGTGTCATCATTACTCACCGGGCCCCGGGGATGGGGGAAGATATGGGGTAAGGGGAGGGGGGCGATGCATTTGTCGGGCTCACGAGGCGTAAAATCTGTTCGATGAAGTCGGTCGTGGCCGCGGCCTTTGTTCGATGATTTAGACAACTACTGGAGAAGCACAACATGGAGAGCGCGACGCGTCTATCTTCCACGGGTTGCCGGATCGTTAAGGGCTTATTTTAGGGGGACCTGGGGGAGGAGTGCCACCCTTAAGGATTTAACATATACTCGGGGATGGAGGAAAGAAACGGATTCGTCAAATTAAAGTATATGCACTCTTAGGCGTCAAAAATGAGCTCATGTTCGATTTGAGTAAATATATTTTTCGAACATTTTCGATTATGTTGATCCTAAAGGATAGGTATACATGACTTGTGCCCCCCTGGTAAAAATTGGCGATAAGAGCTGCGTTTCAAAATACCATAGGAATTCTTATAGCCGACTAAAGAAGGCTACAGAAAATCATATAGCTGGCTGTAGAATGCGGAGAAAATCATACGGCCGGGCTATACGAAGCGATAAAAAATTATGCAGCCGGGCTATACACTTTACACTATACACCGGGGCTTTACACTTTATCGCCTGGTTGTTGCTTTTCCGCCATCGATTATAAAAGGCTATAAGAAATTGTGTAGAAAATCGTGTGCTTTGGAAATCATTAAGTTTGATACGGAACCACCTTAATATTGACAAAACACACATTATATTTCCCTTTAATACATATTTTTTTTCATCAACTAAAATGAGAATAATCCATACAGGATGTGCAAACATATCAAAATCATGAGTTGAATAACGCTGACTCCGCGAGATTAAATATTAGAGCCTAACACAAAGCGCAACGGCGACGCACTGGCGCCTACAAACCTAACAGGGATACTTCACGCATTGCGCAACGCGTGAAGTATCCCTGTTAGGTTTGTAGGCGCCAATGCGCGTTTCGCGCTGGCTGCCCGCCTGTCGCGCCGCAGCGTGCCACGGCGCTTGAAGCAACTATTTCACACCAGAGGTATTGCACAGTATCATACGAAACTGAAGGCGCTCTAGTATATTAGTAATGGCAGGCATCCATCAAAAGTACGGAGCTTTTCTCGCAAAATAAATCAAGATACTACGACCCAAAAAGAGAGCAGTATTCAAAAAACTCACTAAGTCCTAGCATCCGTAATTAGTAACGCTTAGCATACACTTTATTGCCTGGCTGTTGCTTAGTCACCATCGGCTATAAAAGGCTATAAGAAATTGTGTAGCCGACTATAGAAGCTATTGAAAATCTTACAGCCGGCTGTAGGTCTAGGGTATTTTGGAACACAGATTCTACTGCCAATTTTTACCAGGGCCTCCATAGACATTTTCATCGCCTTTTGGGCAAGCTGAAGGTTATACGGGATGTATTTTACCAATTTTCCAAAAGAAATAAAAAAAATGTATTAGTTTAGGAAAATAAAAATAAATACATAACTATAAATTTCATTATTGAAAGTCCACTATAATATACTCATTCCTATATGATGATCGCGCGTATTGCGTATCCGCAAAATTGAAGGCGCTTCGACCTATCAAGCAACGCGCGCGCACCGTGCCAACTTGCGAACGTCACAGGGTGCGGAATCTGGGTGGAACAGCAGAGAGGCTTCGTTCATCATTTCGAAAGGATGTTATCGCTTTAGTTGGTTATACACTCTCAACTTTTCTTATCTTACTATAGTAAAAAAAAATAAGGCCTTTTTTGTGTGTACGTCCGTGTCATTTCGCATTCTCATTGGTCTTTCATTAACCAATCAGAAAACGTCATTGAAAATCCCCGGGAAATTTAAATGTATTCTTCCGTAAAGGAATTATTGATAGGTAGACAGGTATAAAAATGGGATGTATTTCTTCTAATAACCAGGATAAAAGGGAGGATTATTACCTATACAGGATAGTCCT